ACGGGAAGGCTGCTCGGCGAGCCAACCCTCATGAACAACAGCAGTGCATCAACGATTTAAACTAAAGCTTCCTTGCTATGCAACCAAAATGCTTCCGACCAGAAGACGAGAGCAAATGCGTCACTGATGCTCACTTCGAGCTATATAATGTGTTGTGTCGGAGCCCCGCGACTGCTTCCACCCACTAACGGTAGTGAGAACACGAACGACCGGGTAGAAAACAATGTTACACGCCGCACGCCAAACCGGCCACGACGTCCGTGTGTTCAAAGCAATCGAATATTTCAAATCAGCGCATATACACAGGCTATGCGCAAAGGTAGGCATTCGGTCAGTCAAGGCTGGTCAGATCAAGAACGGCAGATCGATAAGTTACTTCACGAACGAGCGAAGTGCACACAAAATTAGAGGAAAGCTAATAAGACTATGATTCAGTGTCCATACAAGCTACTCACAAATGTGAGGCAAAAGTGAATCTGTGCAAGTAACTGTAAAAGGGGGCGGGATGAGTGGGGCAAAACACACAAAACAACGGGAGTGGTGGAGTATTCATACCTCCGCTAGAACATCTTGTAACCACTCTAGACAAGCATAGAAGGCGAGACGAAGCAACAGCACTAAGTTTATTCGTGTATGACTTGTTTTCCAGCTTCTAGGTCAACTTTTACTCACTACGGGCTTCACGCCATCCCAAATCCGGTAAACAATAAAGCTTACAGAAGCTAACCTTGTAAACATGGGTCTGCTGACTAGATGTTGACCAGGCGTACGCACTGGGTGCCCATGCCAACGCAACTTAATCAACATAATTTGTTGTTTCTAAAGTGCTAGCGTGACAATCGCCGTTTAATACACACCTGCGCACATCATTGTTGCGGACACACTGAAGCTATGGTATACCATAAGCGCCCCGCGGGCAACGATAATCAAAGACCTGAAGACGCTTCGGATCCTCCCACTCTTGTGTGGTAGGATGTCCCTTACTGTGGCCGTGTGCTTCCTTTTTACACCAAGGGAAATCCTTTCCTGGCGCCACAGAAGTTCAATAAGTTTGTTCTAACTTTCGCAACAGGTGGACTAGCTCCAACAGCCACTTAACCATCGCTGCTTGTGCAACTGCCAATATAGGTGATACGGTTACCCATTTCTAGTTCCTCATCATCAAGGGTCTTGCTACTAAAACCAAATCTGTTCGTTAGATCTGCGTAAAAGACTGGTTAATTTTCCTTGGTCTACGGATCTACTATGGGCAGCCGCTCATCGCTTATAATGAGAGGCCTTGTTTCGTCTTTATGATGCTAGGTGACATATGGGTCGAAGGGGTCAGTCATTGGCCTGCTAGGGAGAAAGTAAGTTCCCGACAACTGATTTAGGTGTCGGTGGCCTATCTCTCCTTCCATTTTGGATTTCCTTCACCCCATTCTGTTCTTCGCTTGAGACACTACCTCGATAGCACGCGACCAGCACAAGTGGTGTTTTTGTTACGGTTTCCTATCCCAGCTGCGTGTTTAGAATGGGTTTTTAACCGAATCATACATCGGTAAGTTTGATTGTGCCGTGGGGTACTAGGAGCCACAAGGAAATCAGTTCGTCGGTACATCCGCTTACTTCATGGTTTTGTCTCGCTTTATGTTTATTTACTAGACCATTAATTCTACTACTACTACTACTACTCACACGTCTCACCGTTTAATACCCTGAGTTTCTCGAAATGTATGGGCGTTTTCTTCTTGTGTTTCTTTAGGGCGTTTCTGATTTTACCAGATGGTCACTTATCTCGACCTCTCAGTTTTTCGTCGTAGGATGCCGAACAACCAATGCAGATTGTTAATGTAATGACTGTTATTACTATCACTATAATGGTTCTAATTTTTATGATCATTATGGTTCTGCGACTGCTGCCAACTTCCCGTTTTTCGATCTTTCCCAGTTTCTGCCGTTGTCGTTGTTCTTGAATATCTTCCACCTGATTTCCTTTGCTATGCGCCGTACTAGTGGTCCCTGTTTTATCAACTTTCTTCAGATAAGACACTTGGCAAACACGCCGGGTGAAGTGACATGACCGCCATTGTTAGTCATGCTGGCACGCGGCCAAAGTAATGTGTGATTTTGGACTAGTTTTTCTGTGCACACAGGTTCGGGTTATGGGGTCTGATTGCGATCGCCTTTGCCTTCGACAGTAGACGGCATCTGACCTATCGTGTGTAACGTCCGGGTACACAGTAGATTGCTATGAATGCTTCATGCGAGCTGATTTGATGATCGGTGTTTATTAGGTGCGACAGCAATGAACTTGTTACATTCTTCTTCACACCGCTGAAGAGCCAAGCTGGTTAATGCTCTCGAGCCTCAACGGACACTCGCCTGGTTGTTTTCCCAGTATATCTTGCTCGATACGAGCAACAGAAATTCTACACACGGAAGGAAATCTGCGACCGAGGTATCTTTTCCTTGGGTTGCTGACGCATAATCGGTGTTGCGGTGAAGTCAACTAGCAGATCGGCAGCAAAATAGTTCTTGCTGTTACTATTGAAAGCCTTAGAGTGGTCCGTTGCACTGTCACGTCGCCCTTAAATGGGAACGGTAAGTATATCATCCGCTTCTCCGCGGAAACGGGTATGATCTTTGGCTCTTGCGGTTCTCTGTGCTTCTGGATGCATTTTTCAGGGTATCCATTATGCTCGCTAACGCTTCGAATAAAGCTCAGCTCATCTGAAAGCGTATCTTCTGTACATGTCCTCGCATTCGCCGGTAAGCAACGGACAAGATTTCGTTTCTGACTTATCGGAACAAAACTAACAAAGTGAATATATTATCTACTCCACGTTTTCTTTCTATGTACCCTCCGCATTGACCCCTCTGAGGCCCTATTGTTTTGCACATCTGAAAATGCCAACTCGTTCTTACATTCTTGTTCAACAGTAAAAGTTATGTTAGTCTGTGCAGGGTTGAAGTTCGCGAACGCGCACTTCATTATCCGCGATACAAAATATGTAGTCTGCATGTCGACCGTAATAGACCAAGCTGTTGATATATTCTTTCAGCTGGTTGCTCTCCGATTTGCTCATGGGGACGTCCGCGAGCAACGGCCCTAACCGTGAACCCATGGCCACCTTGTCTCTTTGTCGAAAAGGCATGCCGTTAAACTAGAACTGGATGTTTCTCATACACATCAGTAGTAGCTGTTTTAGTCGGTATGGTTGGATACCGACGTCGATATTGTAAAACTGAATGAACTCGCACAGATAGTCCATGGTTTCCTCCATTGGAACATTGGTGTAAGGAGACACCACATGTAATGAGAACATCTTCCGCCATACTAACTCAAGTTGCCTCAGACAAGAAATCATAGGTGTCGAGACTGTATTTGGTTATTGCTTCTCTGATTGGTTACAGCCGTTTGATGAACTACTTGGCCGTTGAATGACATGGCGAGTTACACATATTTAGTATCTGCCTTAGTGGTGCCCTTCCTTATGTATTTTGGACAGGTCATATGGTCTTGGAATTACTGTTCCACTCGGTCTTGTGTATTCGAGTATGTCAGAGTCGATTACCTCCTGTTTTAAACAACGTAGCAATTTCGTTATGGATCTCCCGATTGCCTGTGCCTTGTCATTCTCGTTATTTTCTCTACGAAATTTTGACCATTCAAAAAGTCTAGCATATATCCTGCTGATGTAGTCCGATCTATCCATCAGAACGATCCCGGCTCCTTTATCCGGTCTAAACAACCGTACCTTATCATTTTGTTTTCATCTAGATGTTCCTGCTTCAACAAATGCTTGGCACATGGTTTATAACTTAGGCAATCGTAACACGTGTTAATCAGTGTTGACTTATACTGCTCAGCTGCTAAGTCTGTGCAGTGTAAGCGTAAGCGTAGCTACTTAGGAATAGAGATTCTCAGATTTTACCCCTAGATATAACTGTCTAACATAGTTTTGTAGACAACAGCATTTTTGGGCCGAATGAAGGGGCCTCGAGGTAAAACCTTGTCTAATTGCAATGAGAAATTGTGTTCATATCTCTCAGGATCAGAAGGAAATAATTTCTGTGGCTTACTCACATTGAGGTGTTTCTGCAGTGAGGCTACTCATATTTACACTTGTCGTGCCACCATTCGCTGAACATGATTCGAATGGCTCGTATTCCACAACAGCTAGATTCTCCAGTACGATAGAGAAAACCCATCGGTTAAGCTTGAGTTCGTTAATCCGAGACACAACACTTATTGCGTTCATTCATTGTGTGACGTTTCAACGCAGTATTCGTTGGATTAGTTCCGTTACGTCTGAGAATTTTCCGAAAGTGCTTAGGGCATCCACAGCGTAAAATGCACTTGTCAAAAACTACACTGACGCTTTCGCTACCGAAAGCTTTGCTGAACTTAGCATACTGGTAAAGTTCACTAAACACGATGGCATCCTTAGACTGTTTCATTTGAGAGATTATTCCCCGAGAAGTGGCGGTCAGGCCACTTCACCCGACCTCACATCAACGAGACTGATCACTTACTCTTATCGATTAGCTGCTTTGCTTCGGTGGCTCACCGAATCTAAATATCTTGTGTCCATTCTACTCCTTATTTTCTTGGATCCGAATCACTCCTTCTTTACGCTGACACTATTTAAGCCCTTCTGTTCCTGATTATCGCATCTCCTATATATGTGCCCATGGGGTACAGCGTTCTCCTCCCTTAATCCGTTATGTAGTATTTCAGATACCGCTTACATGCCAATTAGCTTGCATTGGCTTATTGTCGATTGGTAACGAAGCATCAGTAATAAGTTCCGGGGTACTCCTATCACGTTATTTTTTTCTATTATGGCATCTTGTTTTATGATCATGAGATTCTTGTTTATCCCATCAACTGCGCTTAACTTCTCGAATTAAATGGCACTTTGTTTTTGCACTTCGTTTGCATGATTTAGACATATCTGGGCCGTCCACCTTTTTTCTTCTTGAGCACACCTCGTCCCCTCTACCCTCCCCTTCAGTTATGAAGATCACTGTCGTTCGCTAGCGTCTGAATTAGAGTATCGCGAATTGCAACTGGAACAACTTAAGTCACATTTATTATCACGCATTTACGTGACTGAGTCCCACATGAAAAAGTTGGTGCAACTTCGAGACGACGAATCAATCAAGGCGGAACGTGCAGCAACCAAGTTGCGCGCAGCAGTGAACAAACTTCAAATGCGATACGAGTGTGAGAAGCAACAGCTGCATGACACCGTAGGTTTTCTGTCTTGATCATTGATCGCAACAATTCCCTGTGTCATTTGGACATTGTAGCTTTGCTCGAATACCTTCTTGAATTTTACACCGTCTTCCTGTTACTTCAGTCAGCGTGTTCGCGGTTGCTTTCGTATTTCACATGTATGCTTACCACATTCTCTAACAGCAATCGTTCTCAGAGTGTTTTATTACTTCCCTGACATCATTTTTACCCAGTGTTGACCTTAGATGTGAACATCTTCATGTTGCCGTTACATTGGTATCGCGCCTCATCTTCCCTATGGACGACTGATGGTGCTCACTAATTGCCACTGACCCATTGTCTCTCTCCTCATTTACTTGCCTCACGCGCCCCGGCTTGATGCTCGCACTCTATTTCTGTGTTGCCAAGCCCACAACATTGACGATCTTTTTGCTTTAAAGCAAAGTGAATGGATGCAGGGACACAATCTGCTCTCCTCCTTTTGTATCATCCTATCCTACTTTAACTACCTTCCTTCTCTTCAACATACTAGGATGTGGCAGTTGGATGCGTCACAAACCAACTCTTTCCATAATGATTTTGGTTCATTGATCTTCCTAGGACTGATCGTGGTGCTTCACAATGCGTCGAGTTATCCTGTGAATTTCACACACTACACTAAGTGGATGTTGTATTCATCACTGTCTCTTTTAGCTACGATCCGTTGGGGAATCAGCTAACAATGAAATCTCCCATCTGAAAACGCTACTGAAGCAGAATGAACTAGACCGTGAGCAACTCCAGAGCAAATTAAAATTCTCAGATTCGAATACTGTGGTAAGCTATTCTCTCATTGTTCCGGTGCACACGTTCCTCTGACCCCCCATTGCAGACTCAAATCTTGGCGATTCTCTAGATTTTTCAGTTGTGTCGTTTCCGGCGTCATTTTGCTATTCGTGTTTGTGGTTGCGTTGACATGATGGTATTACGCTGATGCGGGCGGAGTCGCTCTGAAGCTGACTGGCGGCATATGACCTCTCTATTCCATCAGTCTTCTCGTGTGCCGTTGTAGTGTGTCACGGGTGCTCCACTGGCTTATCAGCCTGACCCCGGTTGTTTGAGTGCTTGTTCACACACTGATTATAACGGGTGGGGACTTTGCTCGTCTATTGCCATCAACTTACTGTGATAATCGTCAGCCGCCACCCCGTATTGAGCAACCTTATCGGTCGATAAGCGAGTGCTAACCCGACTGGAAATCCTCATCTACCCGAGTTCCTTTCTCGATCAAAGAACATATACTAGGTGGAGGGTCAAGTTTGGACTACACATTGTGTGATTTGATTGCGACGCGCAGTCTCAATGTAATTAACTGTGGTTCACATTGAAGTGAACCTTAATCACGGCGATCACTGGGACCGTACTCAAAGCAGATGGAAATTGGGTGTTGCCCACCCGAAAATATATACTAGGTCTTTGCTTTGTCGATTACCGTTTTTCTCCTACGTAGTTCTTTTGTCTGACGTCACAGTGCTATCTAAGTCTCTCGATTAATTGAAAATTTCACCCAACTATGAGTTATCATGATCGCTTCCACTGCCACAAACCATTGCGCTCCGTCACAATCTCATCACAGCTTTATTCACAGGGAACTTGTGAGAGCACATTTGCAACCTTAATTTTGCACCTAACTCCGAGTGCCTTTTACTGGACCATTAACGTTAACTGCATCGGGTCACCTTACCTACTTTAATCACCTCTTATTGTGAACTAGGTCCACTCCATTGTCACCGAAAGAATACGCTTCCATAAAGTTTCTTGCCTCTCGGCTCCCCGGTTGGGCCTTGAAAGACGAGGAATTTGGCTGGATACACTTGTTGACATGGCTAGGGGCCGATCTCAGTAGCGTTTTGTGTTGCGAGTTTCTTTGTCCCTTCCCCTCCACCCATGATATCATATTCTACGCATAACTTTTTGCGGTACAGCAGGCTGATGCTAACTCCGGAACGATGTATATCCGTTACTAGTGAATCAGCTGGCGTGCCTCTGTGGTCTTTTTTCTTTTCCCATACATTGCGGCACAATAGCTGAGCTGTTAGTGCTTTGCTGGCAGCCTCAATATCAACCATGGATGTACAGCCTTCCTATGACTTCTTTGATCTTCGCTCTATATGTCTCAGTCATCGCGCTTGAGGCAATTTCTACTTACTTTTCTTCGTTAAATTAGAATTCCATGTTGAAACTAGAATTATACATGAGTCTTTTCATTTGATTGCTGTTTTGTAACTGTGAAACGGCAATCTTGTTGACCGAGATTCTACTTTCTCACGGCTCTCTCATTCCACATCGTCCGTGAGTTACTATGCACGGTGCTTTCAATACACACATGAGATGGGAGCTCTGTGCTTTAGCGAACATTCTTGGCCTAGAGTATACTTGTAACAATTAAACGCCACGCTTTCCGACGATCGAATTTTTGTTGTTGGTGTTTTAGCATCATTCGTCATAAACACCTAAAATGGTCCAATTGCACGGGACTCTGCAAACAGACATGGCAGGCTCGTGAATTCATCCATCCATTTATTCCGTCCGTTAGTAATGCTCCAATTACTGACATGCAGTGATGCATGATCATTCCTCCTTTGACCTTCAAACACAACGGAGCACATAGAGCGAACGGCAAAGCGTTCGACGACGGCTGACCCATCCAACTGGGTGATTTGCATTTGGAAGTGCAATCACAATACTGCTTCCTCTCGTCTTTTTTTTACAATCACGTGCCAAGTGCTTGTACCACTTACTACGTTTGCTCAACTCGATCTCTCATGTGGTGGTCGATCAAGCGATGGGTTTACTGTTCAGTCCAAAAGAAAATCAACTTTAGCCTTTCATAGCCGTGATCACGTAGTTTGACCTGGAAAGGTTAGCTCACCGACCACATGTTCTATGTACTACACCTGCTGTTTGAAGCCACCACTCCAGCATGCAACTCTAATCACTGTTGTCTGCTAAATATTATCCACACTTAGTGCCACCAATGAATGAGTGTTGCTTTTTTCAAGTCTCGTCTCGTATTTGCGTATTTTTCCTTTTTTGTTGCAACTACGCAACCGCATTCTCACCTCCTTTGCTTTTCGTCGGCCTTTTATTTGCCAAGGAAACCGAGTACTTAGTCGTTACCCCGTTAATCTGACTACAGTGTTTAAAGAGCGTACCCGTTCTGTCACGATACTACTACATTATCAACTACATGATGAACTGAGTCGACCGTATCGGGGTTCAAAAGCGCGGTATGACCTATAAGTCAGTCAGTCCGACACCCCCTTGCGTTCGTTTGCTGTTTTTAGTTTTATTTATTTCAGTTTGGTCCTTACTATTGCTTTTGCTAGCTATGACTGATCAATTCACCACACTCCAAAACCCGAGTCCTCCATTGTGATCGAGCCAACCTGTTTGCCATATTTTAGATATCATTTTTACTAACAGAACAGAGCGCTTGTGGCTTTCTTTCTTTGATCCGGCTGCTTTTCAAACTGAACTATGCTTCTTTTTTGATTTTATAGTTTCACTTGTACGATTAGATCGCGGATGTCAATTGAAGTTCAGTGTTGAGAGCGGACGACATTGGAGCAGTCTATTTTGTTATGTCACTTGGGGAATAACGCTCATTCACAACCGACAAAAAACCAAGGTTTCACTGTTTCTCGAATTCAGCCTGTTGCGCGTTTACTTGCGTCACCAATCGTTCGTTGCCACCGCGGCTAAGGTCCGTTGTGGCTCTGACTTCCGTAAACACATGTAAGCACCTGGAGCCATGTTGCTCTTTATTTTTGGCGAACTTCACTTTGATCATGCACTCAACGCACTTCCTAATATGCCTCCTTTGTCTCATTAACTGCTTGTAGTTTCTGACACTAAACGAGATTCATCACTTCATTCTCCATCTCAAGCAGCTCTGTTTTGCTTCCGACTTTAACGTTCACACCGTGCGCCTTTGCTTTGGTGTCACAGAGGGCACTTCGCTCATCGGGCATGTTACTTTCTGTGTTTGGCTCACCACCGTCCTGTGCAGATTATTCTGTTCACCCCTATCTTGTTTTACCCCTTTCCTCAGCAATTAAACGAAGAAATAGCCCGGTTAAAGTCCGAAGCCAGTCAGTTCGCATCTCGTTTATCTCAACTACTGAGCACCAACAGCGATTTGTCCTCCAACCTGACCAAACTCAAATCTGCACATCAAAAGGCTTCCGCGCGGGCGGAGGAGGCTGCCAAGCAAATAGGAGATTTGCGGAAACAACTAGATCAAGGTAAGTGTCCATCTAATCGAACTGAGGACCTACCAGTCCTCATCGTAAATCTGTTTGTGGGTAATGTGGTGGTAAGTTGCCGCATTAATCATGCTGGTTGCCTATCGAACGGGCGAGCTGAGCGGATTTGGTTCGACCGTCCGAAAGCTGATCGATCGCCGCCAGTCAAGCAACAACGTCCACGCGTATGAGCATGAAGCGCCTCGTAAGCCCGCACGGCCAATTGGCTTGACAGCCCATCAACGAAGAACGAATTGGAATCGTTCAACGGTGCGCAGTTCATCCTTTAAATACTATGATGCCTTCTTCTCAAATAGATTTCCTATCGGGACACAAACTTTGCTTTTTGATTCACGGAGGACCACACGAAAGGTACCTGTCTCGATCATCTTGAGGTACTGTACTACTCATTTCTGTAACAAACTGTTCTAATAGGGAGTCAGGTCAAAGTGTACAGTTTATTGTTGAGTTCTGAAGTTCCCTTCGTATGTCTGAATTAAAACCCGCAATCTCAGTTGGGGGCACGGTTTACTTTCAGGTAAACGTCTGCAATTTCGATCAGAAAACCACATCTAAAGTGTACAATTTTGAGTTCATTTGTTGGCTCAATATGTACGATGTTGTAGGGTTTGTGGCTGCCCAGGAGTTTTCTCTCAATCCCGTTGAGCAGAATCTCCAACGAATGTTGGGTTCCGTACAGCAGATTACTGCGATATCTTTGAGTGATGTTATCAGGTGCACGGTCTTCGATTCCGAGTGTTTACTACCTTCTTGATATTCGTATTGCGCGGAACTTTCCATCTTTTCAACAAATATCTAGTTTGTTGGGGCTCAAAGAAACAAATGACGGAAAACTTTTTGGTTTATTTAGATATGATTAGGAGGTGCATAAGACGGTGTTTCAGAGTACTGGAAATTAGACATACTCATGGGTCCCAATTATTCAAAATATTTATCTATTTGTTATGATGCATTATGACAGGATGCATCGATCAGGACTTGTGTTGGCCTCTTGAGGCCGAAACGAGTGGGAGGGGGGGGGCTAAATGTGGAAAATCTAAGAACAGAGTTGAACGAGGAGGAATCATTTCAGCATGCACTTGGTGGCTCGAGTCCATATGATGACATGGCCGAGTAGAATGTGACTGAGTGATGAGAATTCGAACTTTGAAGCCTGCTAAGTTTACTGTGCTCTTTTAGCACACACTTGTCGTTAGCATGACCAAGTAATTGGAGCATGTACGCTTGGTTTTCCTCTTCAGCACACACCTGCTGGTGTAAACGGATTGTTGTATCATTTGAATTCTGACATTCCGTCATGTGACATCCAACTAGATCGGCCTCGCTTTGCAATTACGAATTTCAGCAACTGAACAATTCCCATTTAATCATCAAGAACAAGGGACCGAATGTGAACAATTGTTTTCGATTAATTCACCGTCAGACCTTTACAATCATATGGGTACAATAGCAATAGGCATGGCAGTGGATTCGATTAGTTCAAAAGAAATCAGATCACGTGCCGACCAGGGACATAAATCAACGACAGACGTAAATAATGAGGGCAAATATGTAGCCGAACGATTGCTGTCCTGCTTTGGCCGTAGTGGGAAGCAAATCCGGAACTGGATGCCGTTAACCTATCGGCTGTGGCCAATAGTTGCACAAGTTGCAAAGATGAAATCAGTACTAATGAGGAACAAAGTCGTCAGTGAGGTGACGATAATCTGGATTCACTCTTGCATAGATTAGAGTTGAACAGTAAAAGCACAGTAAGACAAGTGATGACGAGATGTGCAGACAGAGTCGTATCTTTTGTGTATGTATCAAGGAACTAGTGGAATGACGCTCGTCATATGATGATTAGGATGCTCTGCATGCGCATCTTTCTTGAACTTTCACATCTTCCAACTGATGGGGTACCTTGCCTTGATGCAATGCGACCCCGCTTATTTATACTATCCCGTACCATTTAACAGTATGACTAGCCTTACCTTGCCTTGGTAATTTTTGTTGTTTTTTGTTTCAAATTTAAATTGTATGACCTTGAACGTTGTTTCTTTTTAAACGCAACACCATTTTCCCCGGATTGGATCACAACAGCTGATGAGAATACCCGAAATATATTAATTCAGAGTATCCTGTTGACATGTTGTTCCTTCTTTCTATCTTAAAATTATTCCATTAGTTTTGCGAGAAAGTGATACATAGGTGTGAAGGATAGGTTTTTTGTAGCAAATTTTCTAGATATCGTTCCGATGCTCTCTCTGGCCCTTGCACTAACATGACCTACTTGTTCAGATAACTTAACTGAACCATCATAGTCCTAGGTCCAGTATCGTGCTTGACGAAATCAGAAAATACGGCCGCCTGAGTAAGACGGTTAATCGAGTAAATGGCAAGCACAACTGCGTACCAAAAGGGAAAAACCACGCAGGCAAAAGTTGCGTGAGTCACGTGGACGCTGAACCAAAATCACCAATCAATTGCTGTGGCAAATAGGCCAGTGGCCGCAGTACACACACACGTACGCGCGCACGCAACAAGCACAACTTATCAGTGGAACATATATTAATTAGCATACCATGAACTCAAACCAATAGATTTTATGTTGCTCTTGTAGGATGTTGCGCAACATTTGTCTATCTTGTATGACATTTTCCACTTTGAGCACCAAGTTTTGATTGCGCGAATGCCGGGGTAGATCATTTTAGCGGTTTCAATTATATGAACAGCGTAGAAAATGCTGACAATTTAAATGTCGCTGGCAAAAAGATATGGTGTGCCAACTTTTACTGCGTCGACGATATTGGTAACATATACTAAGAACAGTAGCTGACCAAAGACACTACCCTGTATTACACCACTAGTGTAAGCTGTTGTGTTCTACTTTTATGCAGTTAGGTGGGTATGACCCAAACCTCGAAAATCGGGGTTCTCCGATTACGTACGGCAGCATCCTGGATATAAACTTTCCATGGACACCCAGGCAGAGGTGTTGTCTATATCAAGTGAAATAACGGTTGCAGACATGCTTTATTTTATGAAACAGTTACTTAATTTAGAAATTCCAATTGACACGATATGCTTGACCGAGCATACAAACTGCCGTATTGAGAATCGTTTACTAGCTTTCGAGACGGTAAGAACTCGACCTTTGTGGCTTTGGCATGTCGATCCGTCATTTTCAGTATGATGGACTTGCGACTTTTTTGGCTGACAGCTTTTGGTTTCAAACATTGAGTCTAATTTATACCGCGGTATAACTATAGCTCATTTTCATTATGTCGTTTCATTGCTAGACTTCATGGACAGAATGGACATATTCAGACCCGTTGGGTCTGTATACAAACATTTTGCATTTTATGTAACTGTAAAAGCCTGATGAAGAATTACCGAAAACATATGTTCGCTTACACAGACTTCTGGACACTCCTATGAGTTTACAAGTGTATGAACTGCACTATCTGGTCTGCCAAAATTAGATAATATAGTACGCTGTGTAATTTTGTGTATGTCATAGAGCTCAAAGTGTGCACGATTAAGCCCGCGACTGTGGCTAGTGCTATCTACACGTGTGGAGTTTCATTAGCTACGTTGAGGTAGGTGCAAAAACACTGGTTGTGTCCATTTCTGACAAAGCAAATGACACATTACCACTTCCGCGATTCTTATCCCCGCCAAACTCCGTGGATCAGGCTACGCGATTTGTACAGCAGTTTCACTACGATGGTTCTATGTGCAGATCATAGATTTTCACTGATATGCATGCATATGCATACCATTTTAAATTTAACCAGAAAATTTTCTAAGCCAACCCGCACATTTTTCAACTCAAACTCGACATCTGCACTTTCTTAGCAAGGAAGAAAATAACTACATTATAGACAGTTGGTTCGAGGCTGTTCCGCTGCTGCTTTCGTATAGTTCATCATCATATTGTGGACGCAATTTCTTCAGTACTGCTGCGTTACCGCTCCAACGCTTCCTTGAGTAACAGCACTTGACGTCTGATAAGGGCTCGGGCTGATCAGATCTTTTGCACACATTTGTACCTTCGAAAACTCGTTTTCAGTTATGTTCAACACGTTGGTATAAGGCGGTTGAAAATTCTGCTGATTGGACATGCGCAGGATCCTACTTAGATCTTTCGGCATTTGGATTTTGGCGTTGTACATGGTCAGCCATGCATCGTTCATCTGCACACTACAGCGCATACGTGCCATAGCTTACTCGACCAACTTGGCCATTACAGGTCCCATCGTTGATGATTATTGGTTTACAAGTCGCGTCTGAAGTATGTATTGATCACAATCTGTCTACAGCTATCGTGCCATTGGAACCTTGGCGTCTGAGGAGTCCGGTGAATTGTCCCATGTGTTACAACCGCGCTGCTTGAGATGGGAGGCCTGCGCATGCACATTGAGAGACATGTCAGCAAGTCTTCCTATCGTGCAAATCACTGAAGTGAAGCAGTGGTGCACTTGACGACCAAGCTAACGGAGTCAGTGTGAGAACTCGTTTCATTGCAAACTAGAGCAACGGGTTAACATGACGTTTTGCTTCAAATTGGTCAAAACGGCGACGGAGATTCACCAAATGTCAGTGCAATTGTTCGGTGCCGAAACAGTGAGTATAATTGTGTTTGGGTAGTGGAAACGCTTTAGAGACGGAAACGAAGGTGCCGATGCTGATTCGCGCTCGGGTCGACTGTCAACAACCGTAATTCAAAGCAACATCGAATGAGTACCACGGATGCTTGCAGGTGGTCAGCGGCTGTTTTTGAGAATCATAGTAGCAAAGTTGAAGATAATGCGGAAAATTTATTCCCGGTTTGTACAGCACACGCTAACAGACGAGCAGAAAAAAACTCAGGTGGAAACATCTGGAGATTTCCTCGAATGTTTGACCGCAATCCTCACTTTTTGGAAGCTATCATTACGGGAGATGCAACTCAGTGCTATCAACATGCTTTGGAGACCAATTGCATAGTTATGATCGTCTTCCCCGGCCCCCAAAACGTCGGCTGACGAAATCCAAGGTTGTGACGATGTTGATTGTTATTTTCGAAAACAAAAGTTTGATCCATCATGAATTTCTACTTGAGGGTCGAACTGTCAACGCGAAAGTTTATGAGGGAGTTTTGATACGGCTGCTGCAACGCATCCGGCGAGTTCGACCAGAACTCTACCGGAGTGGACAGTGGAATTTCCTTCACGACAACGCCCGTTCACACACTGCTATCCGGGTGATCAGCTTTCTCCCTCAACGCAGTGTGGCTATTCTTAAACTCTCCTTATTTTCAAGATTTGACACAGGCAGACTCCTTTTTGCTTATCCGCCTCAAATTGGCCCTGAAAGACTTACGCTTCACGGACCTTGAGGATACCCATCATCACGTAACTTTGATGCTTCGATCGATCCCACATGAAGCATTTACTGAGTCTTTAACAGGTTTACAATTGATGTCAGAAGTGTGTTAAAGCTAATCGTCATTACTTTGAAATCAAGTAGAGGTATATCGTTTGTAACTTGTTTCCTTTATTCTCCAAATCATTCACCGAACTTTTCAAACACAACTTGGAACTACGCCTCAGTTATTCCTCCGAATATAGTCAAACGATCTCCTTGATGCGCTGCGGGGCTTTGGCACTCATCATCATCAACAAAAGTAGTACATCGGTCATTTGAACTGATACATCGCTGTCCTACAACCCCAACGGCCTACAGAACGAATAATAATAATAAGATGGAGATCATCATCATCATCATCATTACACGTTAGCTGGAGGTGGAAAACACCTCAGCTATTGTGCCGTAATACAAAAGATAAGAAAAGGAAAACAAAAGGTGGCACGCCCGCTGAGTCCCCAGTAACGGATGGACATCATTCCGGAGAGCTAACAGCTGGCTGCCGTAAAAGAGTCATATTATACCTATAAAGTGAAATCATGATTAGAGGGGGATGGACAAAGGAACTCAACACAAACGCCATTGGGGCTGGCTCCAAGCCATATCAGCGAGTGTGTCCAACCAAACGTGTTCACCATCCTTAGGACCCCAGCCAGGCAATCGGGATGCACCAACCGACGCCAACTTCGAAGTGAGGGTTTTCATTTCTCTCGACCAAGTCATCACTTGGCCTCCCCTCCTCCTCTTCCAACCGCACCCACAACGCGCAAACAATGCACGTCGTGGGAGTCGGTGTGCTGGCATGCGCAACACGTGACCCAGCCATCGGAGCTTGGTGCGTGATATAATGGTGCTGAGCGGTTCACTCGCTCTTCCTGCAGCAAATACACGACGTCGAACACGCTCATTGCTCACGCGGTGTTCCCACCAGACATGAGCTAAACTGCGCAGGCAGCGATGATCGAATGTGACGAGCCACTTCATGTCTATCGACCTTATGGGCCAGGTTTCACATCCATATAAGAGAGTTGAACGGACGGCTGCGTTGTAAACTCTACCTTTCAGGGCGAGAGTAATGTCGCGTCTGCGCCACAGGTGGCGGAGATTGGCAAAAGCACCTCGAGCTTTTGCTATGCGGTTCGTAACCTCATCTTCAATCCCACGGGTGCTAATATAGCTGCCCAGGTACTTGAATTCCTGAACGACTTCTAGCAGATCACCACCGAGCGTTAGCGCAGGGTTGGGTCCCTGCCAATCTTGGAGAAGTACTTTGCATTTCGATGGAGCAAAGCATAGCCCAAAATGATTGACAGCCAGTGCTAATCGGTCCAGTGCTATTTGGCATGTTTGGGAGCTGTCACAGATTAGGGCAATATCGTCTGCATACTCCAAGTCAAGAAGTCGCTCACCAAGAAGTCGCTCCACACCTTCTAGGTCGTGTCCAGCGAACGCTGTTTCCATGACTTCATCAATAGCGAAGTTGAAGAGGAAAGGCGACAGCGGGCATCCTTGTCTCGCACCGCTGGTGATACTGAAGGGTGGCGAGAGTTTGCCATAAACCCTCACCCTACCCGAACTATGCGCGTACAGCGCTTTGATGATATTTACATATTTATCAGGCACACCTTTCCTCAACAGACAGTCCCAAAGGGCACATCGATCGACTGAGTCGAAGGCACCTTTTATGTCAAGAAACACGACGACGGTGGGTCGCCAATAAACATGGCGGTGCTCCAACACTTGACGCAATGTGAAGATGTGGTCGATGCAGCCCCGACCTTGACGAAATCCGGCTTGCTTTTCACGAATCTGGCTTTCACGAGTGCCAGTCAGTCTGTGGAGAATGAGAGAGGCAAGCAATTTAGAGGCAATCGAAATCGGACTGATCCCCCTATGATTGCCGCATTCCAAGCGAGAGCCTCCCTTGAAAATTGGGACAATGACGGAGCGGTTCCAGTCTGTCGGGACTGTCTCCTGCTACCAAAGTTTTACTAGCAACTCGTGTAGATAATCTAATAGAGCAGGTCCCCCGAATTTGAAGAGGGCAAGGGGAATTCTATCTGCCCCTGCGGCCTTATGCAATTTCAACAGTCTGATCTCACTTTCGACTTCTGCACGTGATGGCGGATCCAAGGAGACGGGCGTTCAATGCCCGAAGAAGAAAGCGATAACTCAGGTTGGTTAAACTGCCTTGCAAAGTGTTCAGCCCAACCCTCCAAACGTTTTGACAAGCTGTGGATCGGCTGCCCACTCTCTTCGCGTATGGTCTCGCTAACACCAGGTCCCCTTCTGTCTGTTGCCCGTATCAAACGGAATAACTTACGATGATTACCAACGGCAGCGGCTGTTTCCATTTCCGATGCACGATGAGACCACCAGGTTTCGCGGTCCTTCTTCAGGCTAGCACGTAGTTTTGCCCTGAGATTTTTGCGAGTCTCATTGTATTCGTTTCCAGCCGGAATACGTCGGCGAGCATCCATAAGTTCCATAGACTGTGTAGAGACCCAATGTCCGGTTTGGCAATTTGCTTTGCCACATGAAGACATGCCTGCTAACAACAACGCTTGACGAATATGCGACCAGTGATCTTCAACGGTGTTTAGTGGGCGCCTGCTCAGCCCAGATGTCAGTGCACTTTGGTACACCTTCAGAACATCTGGCTTCGCCAGCTGACTGGTGTTAATCCGTTCACGTCGACGTTGCGGACGTCCACCGAATCGCACTCGGAGTTCGGCACAGACAAGTGCGTGGTCAGAGTCCACGCTTGTGCTCCAGATCGAGCGGCAGTTTTGCACACAGCCTCTCCAGCGGTAACTGCTCGCGATATGATCGATTTGCGTCCATGATTGGCCCGAGGCTGGTGGCCACCAAGTCACGCTTCTGCGGGTGCTGTGTCGAAAGTTAGTGCGCGCGAGAAAGATTCGAGGATCTTCACACAGCTGTAGCAATCGCTCACCATTATCATTACGGGAGCCCACACCATGTTGGCCGCCCAAATGAAGCTCAACAGAGGACAATTTCCCGACTTGGGCGTTTAGATCACCAGCCAACACCACAGTATCCGTGTTTCTTCTGTAACGAAAGAGCTCGTGCAGTTGCTGATAGAATCATCTTTTACCGAATCAGTGCTACAGTTTGTAGGGGCGTAGGCCGCAATGACAAACAGGCACCGTTTGTCCCCGCGCGACTTCGTAGCACGGAACGAACCAGCTAATCTAACGGCGCACATCCTACTGTTTACTGGGATCCAGTCAATCAGGGCAACTTCAGCCCGGGGACTCAAAACAATGCCGACGCCAGCTTGACCGGCATTTGAAGCTGCAACATCGCCAGACAGGCG